ATGATGGTTATAATTCTATAATACGGTATTCCCTCTAAGTCCTTTGCTAGCTATTTACATTGGTCCTCGTTGACTACTTCAACCATCCCATGATGGTTATAATTCTATAATACTTTTAGAATGATATGACAAAACTCACTTTAAATAATCATTAATAATTTTTACATTGAATTGAAAATGAATGTCCAGTAATCAACTAACTTTAAAATGAAAGGAAATATGAAATAAACTATCGTGATTAGGAGAAAAATGAGTAGACAAAACGATCAATTTCTATGTTAATTGTCATGTCCTTCCGATAGTATTGAAACTTTTAGGAATGTTTTTTATATGATGGAAAAACACATCATTTTGATACAGAAGGGAAACGAAAACAATATATATATAATTTGTTCTTAAATGTTGTAAAAGGCAGGAAAATAATGTTACTTTTCACCATTTTTTTTTTAACTTTACCCATTAAATTAAAAATAAATAATAGTTTATCGCAATTTTTATATAATGGAAAAATACATTTTAAGAATCTAACTAAATTATTTTTAAAAAAAAATATTAGAGTAAAACAATTGAAAGTATCCTAGTTAAATCTAATTAGAATACATATAAGAATAAATAGTGTTTTTTAAAATATACCTTTAATTAACTAACCAAATCTAAATCTAAACTAATTATTTAGTTAAGTTATAAATATTTAAATATTATTTAGTTAAATTAAATTTTTAACAAAATCTAATTAACTAATTAAACAGATCAAATTTGATTAATTATTTAATTATTGAAGAGACAAACTCATTCAAATTAAAACTACAATATTTAAAAAGTTAGTTTTGAAATAATTATTTTTAGTTTTGAAATAATTATTTTTTTAACAATAAAAAGAATAATCAAAATAAAAATGTCCCATGTCTAGAGGACAACAAAAATTCTATGAGATTAGGTGGTGTCTGACATATTATTAATAACAAAAATAACTTAAGATTTGCTTCGAAGAATATAGAACTTATAATAATTAAAAGAAGAAATAATTCAATAAATAGGAGAAGATTTGATAACTATTATTCGAGAAAGAAATTGCAAGAAGGTTCAATATTCTGAAATTTTTCATTTATACTAATAATAAAAATGTTTGTTTATATTGTTATTTTGTTTGTTTTTTGTTTTTTGTTTTTTGCCTTTTTTGTTTTTATAACTGAACAGGCTTCTATTCAGGAAGATGCTACCGCTTGGGAAACATGCATAATACTGTCTTTTTCAACCTGTCATGTGGACAATTCGGAGATAAGAAATTTTCCTAAAGACAAAGTAACCCGTTTCAGAAGCCAAACGATGAAACTATCATTTTCCAATTTTTGCACATATAACTAAAGGTAATTCTTCAATGTCTGAAGAAAAGAGAGGCCGATTCAGTTGCTCTGACAATAAAAAGAGAGGCAAATGGTAGTTCCAGTTGTATTGTCTAAAGGGCACTTGATTCTGCACAAACCTTACTTGAGAAAGTTATATCAAATATCTTGACAAACGAAGTGTTCTGACAATGATAAGAGAGATGTAGTTCCACACGCCATGTCAAACAAAGCGCTCAGAATCACACACAAACCTTCTTTTAAGTTGTGTCAAACAAAGTTAGACAACAAATATTCCAACTATGAGAGTTAGTAAATATGAGTAACTCCAATTTCGTTACAGACATCATCAACCCTTATTTTTACCCAATTGGTTGATACCACTTTACTCTCTTGCCACTTTATATATATAAAAGTTTCTCTGTACGTTCTCAAGATATGAAATTAGATTTGGATTTAGTTTGCTAGCAAAGTCCAATGATCTTTGCCAGAATCAAAACTACACTATTTTTTAAAATTAGTTTTGAAATAATTACATTTAAATAATTAATTTGTTTTCCAATAATAAATAAACAAATAAAAGTCTCATGTAATCGAGGACAACAAAAACTTCTATGATTGGGTAGTGTCTGCAATATTATTATTAATAAAATTTAAGATTTTCTTTAGAAATAATATATAACTTACAATAATAAAATAAGAAATAATTTAACAAATAGGAAAAAATTCGATAACTATTTATTAGAGGAAGAAATCGCAAGAAAAAGATTCAATTGATGTATCAGGTTCAATATTTTGATTTATACACATAACAAAAATGTTTGTTTATATTGTTTCGTTTTTGTTTTTAAATAACTCAACAAGTTCTTATTAAAGGAGAGACAGCCACTTGGACTACATGCAGATTACTGTCTCTCATAACTGTTTCAATCTGACATGTAGAAAATTTAGAAATAAGAAATATTCTCGAGKACAAAGTAAATTGTTTAGAAACCAAATGATGAACAACCATATTTCAACTTCTACACACCTTACTAAAGGTAATTATTCTAGAAAGTTCCTACTAACCTTTGATCTAACCTTAAGAGTATTTGATTCCGCACAAACCTTTTTAAGAACATTGTGTCAGACGAAGTCCGTAGGAGATAGTAAAGATTTAAACTAGAAGTGATAGTAAAGATTTTAACTAGAAGTGATTCGTAAATATAGAGCAACTCTCATTCCAATAGGCGAATTTCATTACAAGAAACATCAACATTTATTCTTACCCAATTAGTCGATGAGGTTTCCACCCAATACCACTTTGCAAAAATGTTGATCATTGGTAACACTTAGTCGGTTGTACTCATATCTTACCCTTAAACATTATTTATATTAGTTTAACTTGTTAAGAAGCTAATTATATGATAACTTTGACTTCACATGAGAAATGATGCAATAGCCATTAATGAAACTACACAATAATAAGCGATATATTTTTTTTTCTTTTTTTCTTATTTTGATAATTATGTGACTTGGGAATCTTTATATAATGTCATTTTAATATGTATTTTTAGTTGAAGATTAAAACCATAGGCTTCTCAAGTGATTTAAAGGACACTTTCTCATGAATGAATATGAGATTTTTTTGTAAGTTATTGGACCAAGAAACATGAAAATGTTTTCAAGGTAATAATGGTGTAGGTGCTATTCGTTCTGAGTTGTTTGGATCCTCATCTAACATTCGTGATGTTGGTAGCAAATATCAATGATTGACTCGTTACGTACTGTTTCAAGCAACAATGTGACAATATGTTTATATAGATAATCAAGAAACAAAGTATGTGACTATTATACCACGGTTGTGTTGAGTCACGTGATATATTGGTAGCCTGGGAGAGTCGTAGCATCCTTTATCTCCCCCCTCGCTACATCTTGAAGCTCAATTTACATATTCGTTAACAATTTGCTACATTGAACCTCTATAAAAACGAATGTCCAATAATAAACTAAAAAAGTAAATAGAATTTTTAACCGCATAAAGACCAAATTGAAACTAGGCACCCGGACAAACACAAGTACTTTAACCCCAAAACAAAAGCAATTGGAACTCACAAAGTCCCTCCTGTGAATTCATAAACAAGTGCATGCATGACTTCTTCGTGTACACGGTAAAAAAAAGAGAGTTAAATAGACGTATGCAATAGAGATAGACGTATGTATGCATGCGCGTATGTATGAGTAATGTATATAAAGTGATTAAACTCTGACACACATAACAGAGTAGTGATGAAAACAGTCCAAATTCCAAAAGCAGCATCTTGGAAAAGCACCAAAAACTTACTCGCCAATAAATGAATCGACAAGAAATATATTTAACAATACAAAACAAACCAAAAATGCAAATGCAAATGCCATTCGCATCCAAAACGAGATTCTCCATGTGCTTCCCAATCCCTCACACAAAAACATATACACACCCCAAGAAATCATCACTCTCTCTCTCTGTGTGGTGATTTCTTTGCCATCAAACTCGGACAAACTCATTCTGTTTTCTCCATTGGAGTGGATTCTACTCAAAAACATAAAAAAATCTTCATTCAAATCCCAAAATGACCTTTCACCTCCCCATCAAGCTGACAGGGTCATATCTAATAGATCTCTAAACTTTAAGAGTGTTTAACAAGACCATGAAGGACTTTTCTTTTTTTCCTTAAGTTCGAGGGATGTTAGATACAAACTTGAGAGTTAACGAAAAAGTAAAATAGTAAGTGGGGGTAAGTGGGATATCTGTCAAAACTCTTCAAGGGTCCAATACAAAAAAGAGAGAACAGCTCAGCTCAGGTCAGTTCACATGTGTGCACCATAATCAACCAGAACCATTTCTGTTTGAATCCAGAGCCAAAAAAAAAACTGTAAAAAAGCTACCACATAATTTAAATTGATGCCAGTACAAAAGTTGGGGCCTCCCCCCATGCACACAAAACAATGCACATCACAAACAGCAACAACATAACATATATAAATATAATAAAATAATTTACAATAAACTACAGAGAAAGGGGAGAGAGGTGTAGGGTTGATGCCATTTATACCATGTCAGTGCCCCATGTGATCCCCTTGGTCCTTCCACCATGTGTGGGCCTAAACAGGAACAGTGTGAGACAAAACAGTCCTCTAAAGTTAAAAACTTTCACAAACCAAATCAAAATCCATTTTTGTCCTTGTTTTGTCAATTTGCAAAACCCCTGTCTCCTCATCCACTCAATTTCAATTCATCACCACATCAAAAGAATAATGCTACTGTCATCAAATTATACTATATATTTAGAAAATGAAGGAAAAGAAAAGAAAACCCAACTCTTTGGGTAAACCAACCCTCCCACTTTTATGGTCCCAATGAGTTTTGTGATATTTCTTCATCAGTCAGCTACAACAAATTTTTCAAGTCTTCTGTCCTCTTAGGTCCCTACCACTACTGCTATATACATAAAGAGGCTCTTGTGAGCTTTTCACAGAAACTTAAAATTCTACCTAACTAGAAATGAATGACAAAAACAAACAGAAGAACTTATGTGTAAGTTGAACGATGTAAAACGGAGTTAATCCGACCGTAGTTCTTTAGTCAGCATGGTCCAGCACACACCCCAAATAGGGCACAAAATAAAACACAGAAGACCCTAAACTCTCATAAACCAAATCATCTGTTCCTAAATTGTATGGAAATTATATGTATTTTGCTGTTAGGAGTATGTATTGATGAAGATGATACTTGTGGAGATCCTCTCTATAGTAGTAATAGATCTACTCTTGGAAGTAGGTATAGTTTCGCTATACATCCGGGGATAATTCTTCTGCCTGCTATATGCTTCTCTAATTTTTTTTCTGCATAAATAAAAATGCAAAGAACGCCGTTAGCAGTTTCATTCTATTCGTCAGAACTCCAAACACGATGCTCCAAAATAGCAGAAAGTTGGACAAGTAAAGAGATCAGTAGTCTTACCCTAACATTGTTGATATTTGCTGGCCATGCTCATGCAGTTATTGCCTATATTTCAAAAGATTCACTCAAGGAATAGAATCCTAAGGAAAGTAATGTATCTTACTTTGAATTACTGACTTCTTAAATTAGCACGATGGAAAGTGAGCTACCACAAGGAAGAGAATAACAGGACCTTGCCATTTCAGCTGTGGGGGTAAGAAGTTATTAAGGAGAAGCTATGTCACCAGCAGGACCAGTAGGCAGTGACGAATTGCTCTGGGAAGATGACGGTAACGAATTGGGACCGCACCCATCCGCTTTAACAGAAGAGAAATCAGAATTTTGACCCAAGGCAGCAGATTTTTTAGGAGAAGCAAATGGGCTATCTGGAAGGACCTGCTCAATACTGTCCTCATGCCCAAAGGAAATAAGATAGGAGAAGAAAATGGTTAATATATTGTATAATTACTGTATGCTATAAGTATCTTTAAATCAGAAGTTAAGTTCCGGACCTTTTGTGGATTTCAAGCAGTTCAGAGTTGTAGCGGTCTTCTGTGGCTTTGCCACTGCTGTTGCTTTGGATAAAACAAGGATTCTCCTCCAGCTGAAAATTTTGCTGTGTGGTTATTGCATTGTTGGTAGTTACTTGACTGTTCTCATGGCCTGAAACAGCTCTCACTATTAGCCGGAAGAAGAATTCCTCATGTGATTTGAAAAATATACAAGTGAAAGAAAAGGAGTTTAAGACAGTGAAAGAGCAAACCTTCAGAAGCTTCTTGATTTATAAAATCAGGAGGAATTATAACATTCTGGTTCATTTGATTATGTGATTCAGTGGATAACGGAGAACAAATGGGTAAATTGTGCGGGTGATGGTGGTGTAGCTGATCGTTCTTCAAGTCGGGAAGCTGGAGATTCAATAATCTTCTTCCCTGAAGTTCAAGAGCTTGCTGCAATTCAACTTGCTCTTCTAATTTCCTTCGCAACATCATCCCTTGAGCATTATACATCATTCTTGCTCCTGTCAAGAATGGGAAGGATGAGAAGAACAAAAAGAAAAGAATTTATCAGGCATATTCGATCATTTCCACCAGCTTTTCAAAAACCGACATGGCTATCAAATTTGGGGGAAGGGGGGCACGAATTCTTGTTTCATACCGAGGTTTAAGTCATAAGGGTCCCGGGCGTCCAGTCCAGAAGGGCTCAAACAAGGAGAAAAGTCGCCCCTCTCTAGTTGCTGTTGTTGATGCTGCTGCCTCCTACATTCCATCCCAACTATAAACATCACTGCTATAAAGGTAGAAAGGGAAGTGGATAGAATACGAAAGGGTTTATGGTAAATTTACTTTTCAGGAACTTTTCCCTTCTCCTTGTAGGGTTTCACAAGTACTCGTGATTCACATATGAAATGCGGATTTCCCTTTGCCAATATATGTTTTACGGTTTCTGGGTAGACAAATGTAACAAACCCAAACATCCGCTTCTGTTGGTATGGAATCCTAACATCTTGCACGGGCCCAAATTTGCTGCAAAAAGATAAGATTTCATCAGAAGTTAATCAATGAAAGAAATGAAGGCGAAGTGCATTGCAGGACAGAAATTAGCTTACTACTTTAACAATACGAATACAATTTTATTAAAAGTAAAAATATATATCCATGATTCAAGATTGGATCTCAATCCAGATGAAGATGCCAAATAATTATAAATCTTTCATTCCGTATATAATACACTTTTAGTGGAGCACAGCATTCATGAAAATAGAAATACTAAGAAACTGATGAAAACCAACATGACTTTCATTATGACTGAAGCTAAAGAAAGAGAACCCTTCCATCAAAACCTCCATACCAGACTTCGAACCTCCATCGGGACATAATTTCTTCACATTGTATTGATTGAACTTCAGTAAGAAGAACTATTTCGAGGTCCTTCCACTAAATATGAAACAAAGTATTCATAGGTTGAAGAAACAGAGTGGATATCAGATAGCAATTTGAAGATTTCAAATAAAGTGTGGCATCTAAGAGCTTGAAATCACCATAGAGTTCCAAAGAAAGGTTGCTTCCCAATTGACGTGCATCTAATTTGAAAGCCAATTGTAGCAAACAATATTGCTTCAATATAGATTATGGGCAATTCATTTTCAAACCAGGCGCATAACTGGAAATAAATACAATGAAAGTCAAATCGTATATAAGTATTTACATGAGACACAGACATGCATAAGCAAACAAATGCATATAGAGTTCATTATGCCTACGTCATTTAGGGTTCGTGTTGCACACTGTTTGTATTTCTTTTAGGAGTATAGGCAGAGAAACATTAACAGGAAGATAGAAAGAAATTAAAGCAGCTTGCAAAGGACACATACAGCTAGATGGATAAAAAACACCTTAAGAAACTTTTTCATTATAGATTTGCTAGTACTGTAAGTCTAAAATCCTCTGAATTGATGTTAAAGCCTATGTGAACAAGTAGGATGAACGAAAGTGGCAAGCTCAAATACCAATTGAACAAGTATCAATCGAATATCAAACCATCTAATCATTTACACGTATTGAGAAGTAAGTACACTAAAAAAATCTCATAAGAAAATGAAAAAAGTGACCCTCATCCTCAAACTGAAGTGGTAACACAACAGAGAAGGTTTAAGCAGAAGGTGGGGCATAGAACATGAAGGCTCGTGATTCCAGTAAAAATGAAATCAAGTGAGAGGTGGTAATTTGTTAAGGATCAGTACAAAGGGTAAGAATTTGTGCTGGAACTTAGGCTTATTTCACTATCCATTAAAAAGCCTCAATGGCCAGCCTCCTTAAACCCCTGAAAATTTTTAATACAGAAAACTAGGAATCAGGATGCAGGCAAGTTACTGAAAATTTTCTAAGTGAGTAGTAGTCAGAAACAAAATAATATTTAAGACTAAAATTTCTCGTACGTACATAATCATCTTACTTAAAATTGCATTCTTATACAGTTGCGGCAATAATGACACGAATGGTTCATCCAGATATTGCAACACCCAAAAAAAGGCCATCACACCCCATTGGTTACCTGAAATACTCTGAAACGTCTTCATCCTTAAAGGTGCTATCAGCTGGGAATGTCAAATAAATCTGTCTCGAGGCTGAGTTTCGTTTCTCAGCAGCCAAAGCCAAAAAGTCATTCCTTTCACCTCTGCACAAGCCAAACTTATGATACTCTTCTCCCATCATAAGCGCTGCTGCTGTAGCTCTGGATTCATCCATTTCAAATAAAGAAGAAAGATTGCATTACAGACCAGTCCCAAACTAAAAATATATATATATATATATATATCCCCAAAAAAAGAAAACTATTATGGGTTTCAAACACTATATATAGAAGATGACGAGTCAAAAGGACTAAAATGGGGTTATCCGTCACCATCATACCTATGAGTCTCATTCTGTTGTTGCAGAAGAAAATTAAGATACTTGTTATACTGTGAAGGTGAAACTCCGGCCATAAACTCCGATGCGGCGGCCAACCTCTGTTGCTGTGCGGCCTTATACCTCATCAACTCCTCACGCTGCTCGAACAAGCCCTCTAGTTTACTGGGAGAACCAACAACGGCGGCAGAACCATCAACCGAATCAGAAAAATCGCCATGCAGGAACTTGCAATTACTGCCATTTTTACAAAAACCTCTCGCGAAGTAAAGGCAGGGCTTGTACCCAACTCCAAATCCTCCATCTTCAGACCCAAAACAGACATCGCTAGCCGAATAGCTCCTTCTATGAAAAGGGGTGTCTGCATTGTCCATAGACTGCGTCCAATTCTGCAAACCGCGCCCTAACTCCATCCTTGGATCCACCAAATCCTCATTTCTCGAAGAAGACGACTCATTGAGGAAGGATAGGTACTCGTTAACTTGGGGCTCCTCAATGACAACTTCAGAATCGACATACCCATTTTTGTGCTGCAGAAACGGAGGCACTGAGAATGGGGCAGCTCGAATACTGTCGTAAGACAGAAGGGGGCTCGATTTGGGGCTAATGGCGTTGTTAGCGATGCCCGAAAGCGACCAGGAGCTGGTAGACGAGGGAGAAGAAGGGTTCTTACTCAAGTCAAAGCCATTATTAGGGATCCTCGGCGAAGATTGAGAGAAAGGGTTACTGCTGGTGGGTCTGGCTATGGGATTGAGAGGCGAAGGAGAAGAAGGCGTAGAGGAAGAAGAGTTCAGAGAAAACCCTAAATGAGCTTTCGCCTTCAGAATCAGTGAATGCAAAAGGGTTTCAGGCCCAAAAGCCAACCGTATCAAATCCTTCTCTCCCAGGTCTTGAATCAGAAGAAACCCCATGATTTTCGACGCATTTTCTGGCTCCAAGTTCTTGATCTTCGCATAAACCAAAGTCGTCGCTTCATAAGTATCCATGCTTCCTTCTTCTTCTTCTTCTTCTTCTTCCTCCTCCTCTGCTTCACTCACTCCCTCTTTTCTTCTATCAAACTCCCACAAACAAAAACCAAACAAACCCAAGTAGTAAAATCGCCAAAATCCAACTGGGTTTCAGCAAAATCCCTCTATTTCCCGAGAAACAAACACAATGGGCTCAGAAATCAGTAGGGTTTTCAAGTGTTAGAGAAGTGAGTTTGCTTAGTAGAGTAAGAGGCAGCAGCAAGTGAAGACTTCTTCTCTCTCTCTCTCTCTCTCTCTCTCTCTCTCTCTCTCTCTCTCTCTAGTTTTTTGCAATTGCAAGCAGTGAGAGAGAAATGGTAGTAAGATTTACAGATCTACTTCAACTTAAAAAAGAGTAATTGTCAAACAGTATAAATTTTGTCATACGTGTGTGTGAAATGTGTATGCTCTCTGTATACAAAAAAAAAAAAAAATTAAACTTTTATCATATGAAAGAGATTCCAGTGAAGAAGATAGGTCCCAATGCTTTCTTTTTTGCTTCTCTTTTTTCCCTTTTCTTTTTTTTTCCTTCTTTCCAAGATAAAATGATACCCAACAAAAATTAATTAGTTAATTAATTAAGAACCCTAATTTTCAAATGGGGTCCACATTTTCTCTTCATTTGTGTTTGTTTTTTTCCATTTGCTTAATGTTCTTGTTCATCATCATTATCTCAAATGATATTTAATTAATATTATTAGACCTCTCGTCCATCATTACAACCAAATCTTCAAACTCAATTCTACTTCAATTTCACTTCTTTTTTTTTCACCTTTCATTCTTTTTCTTGTTGCACCATAATTGCTAAAGCTCTTAATAATACTCACATTATTAATTGATACATTTAGATTAATGTTTTCATTTATTTGAGGTTAATAAATTTAATGTAATTCTGAGTTTTTTCGTTTATATATTAAGTGTTGATAAAAAAATCAACTTGAACAGTTCAACTAGTTAAGCATATATCACAATTAAAAGATCAGGTTTCAATCTTCACCCACGTGTCATGCTAAAAGATAAAATAAAATAAGTGTTTATAAAATGATTCGTAATTTTGAATGGATCTTATACTTGGGGTATCCATTGTGATGGGGAGTGATTTAATTATAGTTAATTTTTAAATATTTAATAATTAATTGATTTAATATTTACTTCTATACTTTTAAAATTGATTTTGATATACTTAAAAGTGTTTTTCTTTTGGCAATGATTAACGTTTTTGTTTAAAAAAGTGATTTTAAAATTATCAAATTAATAAAAGGGAACTACATTTTAGTGAGGAAAAAAAGGTAGACAAAATTATTGAGAGAGAAATCGTTAGATAGATATAAGAATTGAGGAGAACAAAACTAGAGAATTCGGAAAAATAAATAAATAAATAAATAAATAGAAATAAAGTTAACAAATAGACGCAACAATTTTAGAGATAACAAAAATTGTATAAATTTAAAAATCAAAATCAAAACGTTGTAAGTATAAACTGGGTGAAATAGAATAACATTTTTTTAACTTAAAATAATTTAAAAAATATTCTCTCACCCATCCGAGTAAAAACACATGGTCATCCCTTTATTAATTAGTCATCCCTTGTACTCTATATAAATAAAAAATAAAAATAAAAAAGTTATCCCTTTATTAATTAAGGGAGAACCACGTAGGAAAATTTATAATGATGCATGAAAATATTTAACTAATTAATTTTTTTTTTAAAAAAAAAATTTGTATTTGAGAATGTTAAAAATTATATATTGTTTCAAAAAAGTCCATGCAAATATTCAACTAATTTATAGATTGATTTTTACATTTTTTTATTTATTTAATAAAAAAATTTATCAAATGTCCAGGTTAGATTGCGTGTAATTTTTTTTTTCAACTTAAAAAACAAATGTCATTGTAACTAAATTTTTAAACAAATGAATTTAAACGTCATTGTGTATAACACATTAATTTAATGTTAATTTAATATTTTTATAAAATATTGAATATTAATTATTAATTTCAATTCTAACTTGACCTTGTGTATAACACAAGATCAAGTTAAAATAATTAATAATTTGCGTGTAAAAAAATTATTTAATAAAACAATTTAAATTATTTGCGTGTAAAAAAATTGATTTTTACATTTTTTTATTTATTTAATAAAAAAATTATCAAATGTCCAGGTTAGATTGTGTGTAATTAATTTAAATGTCATTGTTATAAAATATTTAATATTAATTATTAATTTCAATTCTAACTTGATCTTTTTCTCAAGAGAAAATTATATAAATCGTGGTATTTTCGTTGGACTATACTTTTATATTGTCAAATAAAAAAAAAAGAGAGAAACAATATCTATTTCTGTGAAATTTCGTTTACCTATATCATTAATATCAATTTAAAAAAAAAAAGAAGTCAAAAAAAAAATTTAATTGTTTTTAGAATCTTTTAGGCATGTTGTCAAACATAACAAATTTTGACAGAAGAAATTACCAACTTTTAAAAAAATTAATAGCTTCATTTCTAAAATTAGATAAACAATTCAGGTTTTTGATAAAGTCGGACAATAATTGATAATTGTGGGGGTGTGTGTGTATATATCGAATCAGGTAAATATTTTTTTTTTAATTATGTTTGTTTTTAAAATAAGGTGGATATATATATATATATATATATTTGTCTTTTCAAATTTGGGAAATAACAAGGACAAAAATAATTTTGTTAAATTAGTTTTTTTAGATCTATTTAATGCACATAAAAATAATATAAAGGTTAAATTTATTTATATTTTTTAACTGTAATTTTATTAAACTAATTTGTTACTATGTGTCATGTATATTTATTTTATATATATAATACTAATAACAATAACGATAATAAAATAATTTTCATTGTAAAATACAAATATAGATTAATTAAATCTAATATAATAAATTTATTATTTTATTAATAATTAAAATTAATCCGTGTTATTTTCTTTCACAAAATTGTTAATCTTTTATATTAACATATATCTTATTTAATAATATAACAATTATAAAATAACAAAAATAAAAATCTAGATCAATAGATACATTCTTGAATATAAATTTATCTTGTTAGACAAACATTTTTTTTTTAACTTCATCAAAGTAAAACTGCAATCACACGACTACTTACAAACTTCGATATATTAATTTTGTGAAAATGTATATTGTAGTGAAAATTTTGGGAGGGAAAATACATACTTATACCGGTAGACAAAAAGTTACAAAACTTTTGGAATTCAAAAACTTTTGAAATCCTACTGTTAATTATTATTAGTCCTTCGATAATTAATTAATTAATTTGTTGTTTATCATTACTTATCTGTGTCATGTTTTTATTTATTATAGATAATTAATTAATCAATTTACTATTTCTCATTAATTCTTTATTACATGTTTTGTAAATTGAAATAGTATAATAGTCCAAAAAGATTTTTTCATGTCCTCAATATTTTTAATATAGTTTATATTTATTATTGATAATTAATTAATTAATTTACTATTTATCATTAATTACTCATTTCATGTTTTTATTTATTATGGACAATTATCTAATTAATTTATTATTTTTTAAAATAATTTACTATTTATTATTAGTTCGACATGTTTTGTAAATTTATAAATTCAATAAATGGTATAATAGTTAAAAACAAATCATTTCTTTTGGAGTAGATTATTTTCTTTTAAACTATGAATCCGTTCTCGCATCAAGTTATGTTTTAAACTTTTTTATCTAACATTTAGTTTCGGTATATTTGTTTTAAATTTCATATGTCGTCAATTTATTTTTTTATAACAACTGTGTATTTAATTTTGAAGGAAAAAATAATTTTGAATATTTAAAAATATTATATTATGATTTCCGAAAATCAAATTATATTATAAATCAATTATATCAATTTGAATGAAAAATATATGTATACTATATCAATTTCCAACTAATTTTGGTGAATCAAACTATAGTCCACTTCCAAATTTAATTTCAAAAGTACTAAAATGAAGAATCAAATCTCCTTTGGTGGTTGGGATTTGCCCAACTTGACTGAAAACACATTTAATTACTAATTATTGTTGTTCATTATTAATGAATGTATTTAATGTGTTCCAAATCCCAACAAAAAGATAAAAAATTGTTGTTGACACAATATTTCGAAAAATTTTAATTTGTTGATTTGAACACGAAGATAGCAAGTTTTAATTTGTGAAAGTCTCATCTGATCTCACTTCTGAAATATTTTGGAAATCTTACCATATCTCTAAGGTCCGTGTCAATTATCACTTAATTATTCTCGCTTTTGAGATTATTTAGACGATCTTTAAACCAACTCAAATTGTGATCAAATTGTGATGGTAAGTCGTAAATTATTATTAATCCATGACTCTTAAAAGTTAATTTGTGTTTTAAGGCTGGATTAATATTTAAGAAGTTTTGGAATTGTTTTAAAAAAAAGTATCACTCAAGATATTTTTACAAAATGGCATTTATGTGGCACCCATTTAATTCTAGTGATCTCTACATAAAATATTCTTCAAAGAAAAAAATATCATCAATTTCATAATTATCTTATACTCCAATTTTAAAGAGCAATCATTTGATTTCCATTTTTTCCATATGATTCCAAAATGTTAGTCTCTACCAATATTAGCTTCCATCACATCAAATTTTCAAATAGCATTCCTCACATGTCTCTTTCCCCCAATATTATTCTAGCATGGAAAGTATATTAATAATGAATTAAATTTATTCAATTCATTAACTTAATCTTTTGGATTGAATGGTGGTTTGTTCGATGGTATCAGAGCGGGAGGTCCTGTGTTCGAACCCCTATGTTCGAGGTTGAAATATGGTTAATCATTACTTGGCTTTTAAAACGGTTTATTTTGTCCTCAAGAAAATTTCTTATTTTTGAATTGTCCACATAACTGGTTGAAATAGTATGGAGAGACAGTGCCAAAAACGAGCATAGCGGTTGCGAGTTCGATCCTCCACCACTTGTTTTACTAAAAAAAAAAGTAATGAGAAACAATAGTGTACATGTGGTCGAGGTAGAATATTGAATTATCATTAATCAATTGAATATTTTTTTTTGCGATTTATCCGTTGAATATAATAGTTATCAAAACTTTTCCTATTTGTTCAATTATTCAACTATTATAATTTTGACCGAAACGAACAAAGTTTGACGGTAATTGACATATAACTCCAACGAAGAAGTTGTGAGTTGCAAATATATTTATTTTTAATTATTTTTAACTTTTTTAATTATACCC